ATTTTTGAGGTGATCACCCTGAACTTTACCTTTACCCATTATAAAATATATTTACCAATATTTTTTGATGAAAATCTGTTTAAAAAATACTTTATTGAAAAATTTTTGTCCTTAAAAAAATTTAGTGATTGGTGACCCGTGTCCTGTAATGATTTAACATTTTTAGGTTACGTCTACTGAAGCAGAAGAGCATACTACAGTATGTACGCGATCTGATTGGTTGGCCTTTATTTCTTTCGCCGCATTGTGCAACGGGAGGCGATAGTTTATGTATCTCTTATTTCTATATATTATTCCTATCGCTATACTATCGCTATTGCCTGGCATTGTGTTTAGGCCTTAACACTGAGTATAAACTCAGTGTTTCTGTAGAAGATGCTAAGAAAGCAAGAAGTAGTGAGTAGATTTATAATTTTTTTGTAATCTACTTTTTGTAGTCACACTTATTTATTCTTATTTCGAATTCATATACAAAAATTGACATAACCTATGTACAAGAGGAAATCAAAAAGTAAATTTATTTTATTCACATACAATAGGTGTTAACAAAATATGTACATTATTTCTCAATACAATCATTTAGCTTTGCATAAAATTTTGTTTATTTTTAACAATCTACAAATCTGATTCCATCTATGAACAAACTGGTTTTTGACTATCCTCGAAACATCAGTGGTATATACCGTTTCCTTAACTTCCTTATAGAATTTTCGATTGGGGTGCACTGGCTGCACTCAGTGTCAAGAGCGTGTTCGATTGGCAGTGCCAATGCGCACTTGGCTAGTGTCACATGTTCATTTGATCGCACGACACTCGCGTAGTGCGCACTCAATGCGCACTAAGTGGCACGAGATATTTTGACGGTGCCAGTTCAGTGCACGTTTTATCACAGTTAAGGATATACATAGGGACAAGCAAATCTGCGCAGTTGAATTAAAAACGGGGTCTTGTCCCTATTCTTAATATCTTTTACTGTGGTTTTGTAACATTTTGTTGAACATTGCTTCAAAGTGAACAAAAATGAGTTTCAGCTTTAGCACTGAAAATCTTGACGTATTCTTTTGAACTTGCACTATTCAGTGCAACCCATGGAACTCGTCCAGTGTTGGTGTGAACTGAGTGCGCACTGGTGCGCACTAACTTTTGCCCAATCGAAAACGTTATTAACTTCCTCATTACTATGGCTGTGTTCCAAAATTGTTTGTCAGCGCTGGCAGTACCGCCAACACCGTTCCAAAAATCATCGTAACACGCTGTGGCAGTGCTACGAGAGGGTAAAGACGTCATTAATGTTGTCGTCATTTCCTACTGCGGCTGCTGCGGCTGTCGAGGTGAGGCAGCTACAGCACAAGATGGCGGAAAAGATGGAGGAGTTAATTTTAATCGATGCTGAGAGTAAAGCGGGGAGCACAGACTCTTGCATAACGCATAACACGTAATGCATAAGAATATGTACCAATCGAAGTTCTCCGTTTCTTTCCCTTCCATGTAATAGAGAACTCTGGTTGGTTCAATTTCTTATGCCTCATGTGTTATGCGTTATGCAAGAGTCTGTGCTCTCCGCTTAACACTGAGAAACTCAGTGTTTCTGTAGAAGATGCTAGGATATATCCACAAACTTGCATAGCCGCATAAACATATACATAAAAAAAATTATCCAATTGCAGTTCTCTTTTAAAGTCGTACATAAAATGTGATTGGATAATTTTCTTTATGCATACGTTTATGCGGCTATGCAAGT